ACCTTTATTTATAACAGTTCAGTTTAGTTAGAGTTCTCTATCTAAAAAATTATAATGGTTAGGGTTCGGTTACGATTTTTAAGAAAAGAGATATAAAGTTTCGGTTCGGTTTAGCTAATAGTAAAGGTTTATAAAGGTTCATTATGGTTAGAATTTTTTTTCTAAATTATTTTTATCGAAGCAACACCATCGTATAATGATTAAAATTATGAATATTATTTATTGAAATTATTGCCATCACTAAGTTAATATTTTAGTAATCATATCGATTGTAATTGTCGTAAACGTTTCAAATATAATTGACAATAAGAATATGTTTTATCAAATATGAATATTGCTTCAAGTAAACAAAATCGCTATCTATGTATTTATATAATAATAATTAATAATTGACAGCCTTTCACTTCTTCAACGCATGACACTTTCCCCCTTTACAAACAATTTTCCATTTTTCAATCTCATACTCACCCTCCAGCATCATACCATTCCAATGTACTCTGGCATCATACCATTCCATTCATTCAACCAAATCCCATCTGCCTCCCATTTGCCCATTACCATTCATCATCATCCCAATACCATATCATTGCTAAATTCCATTCGAATATTACCCATCATCCATCATCATTCCCAAATCCCCATTTGACCATTACCATTGTTAATCATTTGCCCATTACCAATTCCATTCCCATTACCATATCTAATTATTTGACCATTACCATTCGTCATCATTCCCCAAATCAAACTAGCTCATTGCATTACCCTTCATCATCATCCACAAATCAAATTAGACCATTTCAAATCAAATTACACAAATTAAATTAGACCATTGCAAATCAAATTAGACCATTGCAAATCAAATTAGACCATTGACAAATCAAATTACCATTGCTAAATCCCATCTGAATATTACCCATCATTCAACATCATTCCCAAATCCCCATTTGACCATTACTATTGCTATTAATTTGCCCATTACCATTCTTCATCACCCACATCTATTTCACCATTGTTCTCCATATCATTATCCATCTTGTTTCATTCGCAACCTTCTCTATCCCTCCATCATCATCCTCAAATCCCCATTTGACCATTACCATTGTTAATCATTTGCCAATTACCATTCTTCGTCACTCACATCTAATTCACCATTGTTCTCCTTATCATTATCCATCTTGTATCATTCGCAACCTTCTCCAACATATCCCATTTAATCTTTTATTTGTATCAATATCATTGTACTTTTCTCATTACTCCTCCTCCAATCTCCATTGATCATTTCACCTCCCATTTGAACATTTCCACCCCTCACTTCACCATTTAATACCCATCAACCATCTAACACCAAAATACCTTTCTATTTTCTTCTTTAAAAAAAAATTTTTTTTTTCTCTTTTTTTTTAAACTTTATAACTTTTCTTTTTTAATTTTCATAATTTTCTTTAATCTTTTCTTTTTTTTTAAACTTTATAATTTTTTTCTTCTTTTCTTTTTAATTTCTTTTCTTTTAAATTTCTTTTCTTTTAAATTTCTTTTTTCTTTTTAACAAAACCACATCTTTACAATACCAATAACCATTATTTAATATAACATTACTTTCAAAAATACTATCTAAATATATAATCATTTATCTGCTGCACTCATTCTAAAAAAAAAAATAATTAAAAACACCATATTATAATCGGTTAGCTTTTATTTCTTTCTTTTAAATTTATATAAAGCGTAATATAAAATGTATGATATAATAACGATCAATATAATAGTAAATTTCATTAATATGTCAATTTAAAAAATAATCACATTTGTTAGTATATCTTTTAAGGATAAATAATAATATATTTAAATAATATATTTAAATAATATAAATAAATATATAGTAAATTAATATAATAAATTGAGCATATGATTTAAAAGAATTATGAGTTTTCATAGTTTGCCCTTCAGTTTTTCTTCTTCCATTTGAATATTCCTCTCTTGTTCTTAATTGCTTTTCTCATCGTCGATTCTGTGATTAGGGCTTAGTTCTTTTGTTGACTTACATCTGAATATCCCTCTCTTGTTCTTAATTGCTCTTCTCATCGCCTATTCTGTGATAATAAATTGTCTAGTAATATTTAATTTATATTTTAAATCACTCATAAACAGTAATTATATATTATTTCTTTTTACTAAATTATATATACAATCATACATTCCTTCCATTCTCCTTCATCACCATCAACAATTACAAATGACAATTTAATTAACAACCTTTCCCAAAAAAAATAAATAATCGAACATTAACACCATTAAATTTCAATATTTCCAAAATCTCCAATCCTAATCACAAATAAGCAAAAAATTACATTCAAAATAACAATCGAGCAAATATTGATAACATTAAATTTCAACATTTCCAAAATCTCCAATCCTAATCACAAATAAGCAAAAAATTACATTCAAAATAACAATCGAGCAAATATTAATAACATTAAATTTCAACATTTCCAAAATCTCCAATTCTAATCACAAATAAGCAAAAAATTACATTCAAAATAACAATCGAACAAATATTAATACCATTAAATTTCAATATTTCCAAAATCTCCATCACAAATAAGCAAAAATTACATTACACATACCGTATATTTATTACAACAATTACTTTTATTTTTATGACCTTTTATTATTTTTAATTTTTAAAAAAAAATAATCCCCATTTTTTACCAAAAAAATTAACTTTCAAATATCGTGTAATATATTTTATTTTCCATTTCGTTAAAAATAAAATAACCCTAATCAAAATTATCATAAAATCATCTTATATCTTATAAGAAATAATTAATCTTCCTATACCCACCACATTTCCCTTTTAAAGTAATACACAACATTTAATCTATTTTTATTTAAAAATATATCTCGAAATTTTACTTATAATTTACAACAAGAACAAAATACTTAATAGCTGCATTTTTACTTACTATTCCCGAACTTTTATAAAAAGAATACTATTAACAATAATCTTTAGACAACTAATTATCGATATGAATTAAACTAACATACCTAAAAGTTATTTGAAATACCAATCACGGAATAATAATAGCTCACCACTACCACTTAAGACTCCAAAATTTTTCAATCTATCTAAATAATTACTATTAACTTCACCTATGAATATTACAATAATTTTCTTATCCCCTCTTCTTCCTATCTATTATAAACACACAAATATAATCTTTAATTATATTTCCGATTAAAATCTGGGAAAAAAATGATCTTTATTAAATCGGAAATCTAATAAAATCAGTATTGCATCAAATTACCAATGCCCCCACCTTGTTCAAATATCCCTTCTATATTATTTCTTGTTACACCCGTATTCTTTGTTTAACATGACGAAACCTTATCTCCTCCCTCCTCTAACTTTACTTCAACTTTTTTACACCCAATATACTTTATAATTATCCCTTTCACCCACTTGCGACGACCATTCCATACCAATACCCATACAGTCATTTCCAACCTAAATATCAACTCCTTCCTCACTTCTGCTTTCCCCTTTTCTTTCTCTCTTAATATATCCAACGGTCTTTTTGTTACCCTTCCTAAAAATAATTCCGCTGGTGACCCACCTACTCCTATTGAATTATTATAAAATAACTGCGCTAACCACACTTTTCCCTCCCTATATTTCTCCTTTTTCAACCATCCCTTCACTATTCCCACCATTCGCTCCGCTTGTCCATTTGATCGGGGATAATTAGGCGGAGACATGATATGTATTATACCTAATCTGACACAGAATTCTTTGAACCCTTTACTCTGAAAAGCAGGACCTCCATCCGAAACAATTGTTTCAATTATCCCATAACGTCCACAAAAATTCTTAATCCTCTTTATTACTATTTTCGTCGTCAACACCGTCACCCCACTGAAATCTATCCATTTACTATAAGCATCCACCATCAAAAAATAATAATTCTTATCCAACTCAAAAAAATCCACATGTACTTGTTCACCCACTCTTTGTGCCGGCTCCCATATATCATTCCTATCCCAACCCGGTACATTCATCCACTCATAACAAGTGTCACAGCGTTGTACTATTTTCACAATATCTGTATTTATATTCTGCCACCATATATATCTTCTTGCATCGCTCTTCATCTAAATACCTCCCTGATGACCAGCATGTAACATATTCAGCACTAACTCCCTTAAAGATTCCGGTATCACCAATCTATATCCCCGAACTACATTACCCTCTATCAGACTTAGCTCTTCTTTTAACAACTCATACCTTTTATCCCTTATGTCCCACTCACTTTCTCCTCTTAAACTGTTTACCACCCTACTCAATTCACCATCCTGACTTGTTGCTTTTACAATCTCCTCCCAACTTACATAATCCTTGAATTTTTTCACCCTTACCACATTAACCCGTCCTTGCTGGCTGTTCCCATCCCCTCTCCCATCCGTAACCCCCCCCCCCTCCTCCTTACTACCCTCCTTCAGTTCAATTTGTTCCCCCACACATAATCTGGACATAACGTCACGCATCCAATTCTCCCTTCCCTTCCTATACCTTAAATCCATATTGAATGATCTTACCAATAATAACCATTATTGTAGCCTATTTGACAACATTAACTCCTGATTATCTTTCTTAACCAACCCCACCAACGGCTTATGATCCGTATACGCTATAAAACGTCTACCTATCAAATATTCTCTACATTTTACTAATCCCACCTTTATTGCTAATGCTTCCTTCTCAATCACCGAATAATTTTTTGCCACACTTAATGCTCTTGAAAAATATAATATCGGACGCTCCCTGCCATCTATTATATGTAGCACAACTCCCCCATTAGACGCATCCGTTGACAACACTACCTCATATTTTTCATTCAAACCCACCAATATAGGACTCTTATCTATCTCCCGTTTTAAATCTTGAAAACCTTTTTCTTGTCTCTCTGACCATTTAAATCTACTATTCTTCTTAAGTAACTCATATAATGGTCTTGCTATACCAGCAAAATCCTCAACAAACCTATAATGATAATTTATCATCCCTAGAAAAAATTGTAATTCTAACTTATTTCTGGGCTCACGCATTTTAATAATACTATCAATATTTTTAATGACCGGCGTAATTTCAAATACCTTAATGTTATGGCCCAAATACTCTATTTCCTATGCCTCAAATACACTTTTTTAACATTCGCTCTTAACCCTCTGTCCAAAATCCTTGCTAACACAATCTCCAATCTCTTATTATGTTCCTCCCTCGTCTAACCCACTATTAACACATCATCCAAATAATAAAATATCCCACTAATCCCCGAAAACACCTCCGTCATTACTTTCTGAAATACCTGTGCCGATAAACCTAATCCAAAGGGTAACCGTAAAAAATTAAATAAACCTTTTGGCGTAATTGTTAACATATCACTCATCTCTTTATTCACCCTTAACTGTAAATATGCATTACTAAAATCCACCTTTGAAAACCATCTAGCCCCTCTAAAACTAGATAGGATCTCTTCCACCCTTGGCAAAGGATATCTCACCTCAACTAAACCCGGGTTCAAGGTTATCCTAAAATCAGCACACAAACGTAACTTACCATCTGCTTTACGGTGAAAGGGGTAATTATAAAGAATATTGGGTGTAAAAAAGTTGAAGTAAGGTTAGAGGAGGGAGGAGATAAGGTTATTCCTCATGTTAAACAATTAAGAATACGGGTGAAAAAAAGAAATAATATAGAAAGGTTATTTGAACAAGGAAGCGGATTTTGGGGGCAGGAATAAGGAAACGGATTTTGTGTTTTAGCCGCTGAAAAAAAGAAGAAATAAATTATAATATACTGAATGTCAGTCATTTTATGACATGAACAATTAATTTTCCTTGGGGGAAGAAGGGAGAATGGGAGAGGAGAAGATGCCAGCTGGGAAGAACAAAGAATGGAGGAGATTCAACTATTTTTATGAATATGAAACCTTTATAATTATTTGGATGTGAACATAAATAAAATATGGTATAACATGAAATTAAATAATGTGTTTGTCCTTTGGTAATGTTTACTGTTGGTATTTATTTAATTATTAAGAAAGGATTGTTTGGATTGTTAAGTTATATTTTTGAGAGTGAAGGTTTGAGAGTAAAGGGCATTATATTATTTATTTTTTTCAAAAGGAGACAAGAGTAAAATTGGAATGATTTTGTTTTGGTATAAACATGGAAATCGATATATTCTTTAATCTTAATTTAAAAGAAATTATATTGGTTGATGCAATACTGATTTTATTAGATTTCTGATTTAGTGTAATAAAGATCATTTTTTTCCCCAGGATTATATTTGAGTGTTTATAATAGATAGGAAGAAGAGGAGATAAGAAAATTATTGTAATATTCATAGGTGAGATTAATAGTAATTATTTAGATAGATTGAAAAATTTTGGAGTTTTAAGTAGTAGTGGTTAGATATTATTATTCGGTGATTGGTATTTCAAATAACTTCTAGGTATGTTAGTTTAATTCTTATCGATAATTAGTTGTCTAAAGATTATTGTTAATAGTATTCTTTTTATAAAAGTTCAGGAATAGTAAGTAAAAATGCAGCTGTTAAGTATTTTGTTCTTGTTGTAAATTATTAGTAAAATTTCGAGATATATTTTTAAATAAAAATAGATTAAATGTTGTGTATTATTTTAAAAGGAAAATGTGGTGGGTATAGGAAGATTAATTATTACTTATAAGATATAAGATAATTTTATGAAAATTTTGATTAGAGCTATTTTTTTTTTAGCGAAATGGAAAATAAAATATATTACACGATATTTGAAAGTTAATTTTTTTGGTAAATAATGGGAATTATTATTTTTTTTTAATTAAGAATAATAAAAGGTCATGAAAATAAAAGTTAATTGTTATAATAAATATACGTGTATGTATTTAAATGTAATTTTTCCTTATTTGTGATTAGGATTGGAGATTTTGGAAATGTTGAAATTTAATGGTATTAATATTTGTTCGATTGTTATTTTGAATTTAATTTTTTGCTTATTTGTGATTAGAATTGGAGATTTTAGAAATGTTGAAATTTAATGTTATTAATATTTGTTCGATTGTTTTTTTTTGAATGTAATTTTTTGCTTATTTGTGATTAGGATTGGAGATTTTGGAAATGTTGAAATTTAATGGTGTTAATGTTTCTTTGATTCTTTTATTTTTTTTGGAAAGGTTGTTAATTAAATTGTCTTTTGTAATTGCTGATGGTGATGAAGGAGAATGGAAGGAATGTATGATTGTATATATAATTTAATATTAGTATTTTTAATGTAAAAAGAAATCTAATATATATAATCTCCATAATCATAACACGATCGTTTTCGTATCTCCCTAATGTATTTTAAATTTAAGGAGACTATATAGTGTAATGTTAATTTTATCTCCATAATCAAAACACGATCGTTTTCGTATCTCCCTAATGTATTTTAAATTTAAGGAGACTATGTAGTGTAATGTTAATTTTTTTGCTCTCTACGAGAATCAAACACAAGCCTCCCGTTTCAAAGGCATATGCTTTACCGCATGCACCAACTTGAATATAAATAAATTTAAAATATTAATTATATATATATTAAAGTTTCAAAGGCGTATGCTTTATGCATGCACCAACTTGAATATAATTAAATTTAAAATATTAATAATATAGATATTAATTGATATCTGATGTTTTTAAAATTCTATCGTTTATTATTATTACCATACTAGCTGATAAGGTTGAAGGGTAATTATTTAGTTTGTGTGTATGGTATTAAATATACTTTATTAATAAATTTCATATAAATATTAAAATTTAAGATAAAAAGATGTAAAATTGTTGCAATGTATTCCGTGAACAAGTTTTCTAAATTATAAAAATCTGACTTTGTTTGCAATATATCAATTAACCATTAAGAAAAATATATTTGACATATAAATTTTCAAATACATATCTCCATACAAAATGTTTTATCGTGAAAATAAATCGGCATCCAGAATTTTTAAGATAGCTCCTTCTTCATAAATAAAATAAAATCTCTATTCATTGCTCAATGCCTGCCTTGCCTAAGTAATCGATACATATAAGGAAGTTACAATATACTGAGTGAACTTCTTAAACTTCTTATTGCTGTCTCCCCAAATTGGCAACAAAATTCAGCCCAATCCTCCCCTAATTGAAGTGTCTATTATAACTCAACTTATAGACCACATATCTGAGAAGATCAATTTTTTTTAACTCCTCTATATCAATAAAAATTCAATAAACCAAAGAACACTCACAAAATTATATTCCAATTTTAAGGATCTAATTAATTCTAAAATTCAACCTATTAATGAATACAATGACATTTTTCCCAATTGAACATCCTACATAAATACCAACACCAACATTTACAATATTTACAACACCAATAATGCTTTTAGTTCATCAATTAGCAAATGTTATATCCATGATTTTATTCCACGACTTGCTTAAAAATAGGAATTGAAGCACTGCCATTCTTCTTTTATACAACAGAAGTTTCCTGCACATTTATACATTACATATTTTATTTTTCATTTTTTTCTCTTAAAACTTACTTTTTAAACTTAATTATTAACACATCAACATAAACTTTCCAAAAATTTAACATTTAAATTACACATTTTCCTTATATATATATTACACATTACAAATTCTCTACTTATTTGCATATATTTCTTTTTGAACAAATACAACAGAAGTTTTTTGCACATTTATACATTACATTTTTTATTTTTTTCTCTTAAACTTACTTTTTAAACTTAATTATTAACACATCAACATTAACTTTCCAAAAATTCAACATTTAAATTACACATTTTCCTTATATATATATATTACACATTACAAATTCTCTACTTACTTGCATATATTTCTTTTTGAACAATAAATTATTATTTTCTTTTTATAACACTTCTTTATTGTTATTTTTTCCTCTTTTTTAAAACTTTGTCAAAAATTTTTCTTTTTTTTCTCAACACTCCAAAATTCAAATCTTCCTATACATCTTTAATTTTACTCAATTCTTTTTTAACATTTTTCTTTTACACTTGAAAACTCAAATCTCTTTATACATCTTTAATTTTACTCATACCTAAAAATACACCCAACTATAATTTCTTTTTTTTTAAAATATATATTCCTCAGTCTTTTAACCTTTATTTTCCCTAACCATTATATTTCACAAAGCAAATAATCAACATCACATACCAACTATTCCCTAAAATTCTTATGCCCATCTCCTTCCATATGGAAAAATCTTGTTTTTACAATCTCATTATTCTCTATAGATCATTTCTCCTTACTCTCCATCACATCTGCTTTCATTGTACAAAATAATTTGACATTTCTCTCACTGATAAGTTCTTTCACTCAATTCATAGCCTCTCCTTTAGTCACACAATAGAACGCTGCCCCACGTGTTCCAAAAACATAAAAATCACTAAATCCGGCCTTTTCACCAAGCACAAATCCAAAGGCATTGCTTGTCCTGAGTCTGGAAAGCGTCCTTCCCCTCCCTTCCAAAATCCCCTCTCCATTTTTTCTACTCACAATTATACTTCCACCTCATCCAATAACGCCCACATACCAACCACATCAGACACATTCATTTCCCTCCCACCTACCACTCACGTCGACATCATTAACTTTCTAAAATCTGACAAACCTCCCATTATTTCTAGAATTCCCAAAGGCTCTAGAATACAAGTAGCCAAAGCTCTCTCTACCTGTCTTGATTCACTATTAAATAACTTTTCCTCTCTAGATCATTGGCTCAAACTCTTTTCATTTTCTTTCACGACTCTCCAACCTCCCAATCCTGAGATTCACAAATCTTTAACCCAACAAATTAAAGACGCAACCATACACCCCCTCACCCTCACATCCACCTTTTCTCCTCATAATTCTAAATAACTTTCCAGCCTCCAATTAAAGGCTAAGATAATTTCTAATAAAATAAACAATATAAACATTAAATCTGCTCTCCGCCTACTAGCATCTGACGACTCAATTGCAACCAGTAATGAGGAGAGCTACAACAAACTTAAACTTAAGCACCCTTCTGGAGGTGACCTCATACCTCCTCCTCCGCCCAACATATTTCCCACTAATTTTACCCCCGTCGAGGTGCGCAAAAGTATCCTATCCTTTCATCACGACTCCTCGCCCGGGTATGATGGGCTTCGCCCCATCTTCCTCCAGGACCTTACATCCCCCCTCATAGTCAGCCAGGTCCCTATTTTACAGAATCTAACAACATTCTGCAACAAAATAGCACATGGACCTGTTCCCGAATCCATCAGGCCACTCCTGTTTGGCGCTAAATTAATCGCACTCGAAAAGCCGAACAAGGACATCCGGCCGATAGCAATCGGGACCGTATTCCGTCGTCTCGTTGCTAAACTTATAGCTTCCAAAATTAAGGACAACGCAGCCTTAATTTTAGCACCCCATCAACTCGGTATTGGCATCCAGGGTGGTTGCGAAATAGCCACACACGCTACTCGCATCCATCTCCAAACCAACCCTAGTGACGAAATCCTCGTCAAAATTGATTTCTCTAACGCCTTCAACTCCATTCGCCGTTCCCACTTTCTTCCACAAATATACCACTCATTTCCCACCTTCTCCCAATTTTTCCACTCCTGCTATTCCAAGCCATCTCATCTCCAATTCAACAACTACTTACTTTCATCATCTGAAGGGATCCAGCAAGGCGATCCTCTAGGCTCGATAATTTTCTGCATTGGAATCAACGAAATGGTCAAAAACATTTCTACCAACTGCAATCTTCCACTCCACACTTGGTACATCGACGACGGAATATTCTGCGGCTCCCCTCATGAGGTCGCCAAGGCTATCGCCATCATTAATACACATTCCGCCGCAATTGGACTTTCACTTAACGAACAAAAAACCGAGATCTGTCCACTTCATTGTTCCATCCCATTCACCCATAACTTCCTTACAACCGAGCTATCATCCCTCACTCATCTCGGCTCACCTGTCGGTGGCATGCAATCCATTAATCACTTCTTCACTAACGCATCATCTAGCTTACTTCATTTCAAAAACATCTCTAAATTTCTCCCTCGCCATCAAGCTTTTTTTCTCCTCAAAAACTTTTACTACATTCCTAAAATTCTTTACGCTCTTCGATCCACCTCAATCTTTAAATTTCCCGACTCACTAAAATCATTTGAAACTTCCGTCAAATCTCTTGCCGAAGAGATCCTTAATCTTCGCTTCAACCATAATTCATGGCTACAAGCATCACTTCCATGCAAGCTCGGGGGCATCGGCTTACGCTCACCTCTAACTCTTTCCATCAGTGGATTCATCGCCTCCCGCCTCTCATCTGACTCACACATTAGCCAGCTTTCTCACTTTCCTGACCCATTATTAGCTGAAGCCCAGACCATTTGGGACAATTCCGTTGTCCCAAACACTCCTCGACCCTCCTCCTGTTTACAGAGAGACTGGGATACTCCACTCAATGAAGGCTCCGTCGCTTACCTAAAATCGAGCCTTCATGACGACGATCTCACAGTCTTTCACCAATTAAACCAAGGATCGGGTTACGAGTTTCTGGAAACTATACCCTCCAACAACCTCGACTTGTTGCTGACCGCTGACAAGCTAAGATTTGCCATTGGATTACGGCTCAATTACGAAATTGTTCTACCGTACCAATGCAAACATTGCGAAACCAGCGTCGATCGCAAGGGCAGACATTGCCTCCATTGCCGCTTTTGCCGAGGCCGTTTTCCACGGCACACCAATTGCAATGACATCATATTGAGCGCTCTCAAATCCACAGGCATTCCATCAAGACTTGAACCGACCGGCATTTTTAGATCCGACGGAAAACGGTCCTGATGGAATGTCCTTGATTCCTTGGTCAAGGGGCCAGCTACTAGTCTGGGAATTCACCTGCATTGACCCAAATGCACCATCCAACCACAACGTCGATGCCCTCGCTCTAGCAGAAACTCGTAAAACTATCAAATATAGTTCCATAGACCCCTTTTTCTTATTCATACCTATCGCCTGCTCTACTCTTACCACCTTCGGTAGCAAAGCTCTAAGTTTTTTTAAAGAATTAGGCAAACGGATTCGGGAAAAAACCGATCAGCCTAAAGAGTCCCTTTTTTTACGACAAAGACTTGCTACCGCCATCATTCGCTCTAACTACCTAAGTTTCATCTCTTCCATTGAATAATCTCCTATGTCTATGCTCTCTCTCTCCCTTCTCTTTCCTAGTTTCCATTCTTTTATCCCTTACCCTTTCGCAAATTATATTTTTATATTTTTTTACCTTTATTAATTTTACCATATAAAAAAATTTATTATTTGCTATAAACTTTTGATAACATATTATATCAGCAACTATTGAAATAAAGAGAGAATTTACCCGTCATTAGAAATATCAAAATTTAAAAAATATGATGGAAATCATATTGGATAAAATTTAAATTGTTAACTTAGACATATCTTTTTATTTTTGGATTGTAATTTAATTACAATTTCTTAAATTTAATTTTATATTTTGTAACTAAGTAATAAACCATTTGGTTTGTTTAAAATTTAAATTAGGATGAACATATTTTCAGAATGGTACTTTAATATGTATTCATGAATTTCATATAAATACCAGGAGCTCACCAGTATAATCAGAGGTAAATCAGATATTTACCTTTCATTTGATGAGAATTTTGAAATTAGACAGATTTAATTCTTCTAAGCCCCTTACATCAGACCTATTTTTCTGGATCAAAATAAATTATTTGGGTTTTCCTGGGCTTGGAAAATATTTTTCACCATTAATATGGACTTGGACATAGCTTGAGAAACATTTTTCATAATTATTATTATCTAAGATTCCTGTAAATTTTTTAATTTTAAATATGGACTAGAAATTGGCCTGAAAATTTTTTTCGAAGACATGGCAAGGCCTGATCAAAAACCAAGGCCCATGCAACTTCCATTTTCTGATTGTATTTTTAAATGCATTGTGACTTTTTATATATTTTATTTCAGTCCTCAACTATCAAAATTATTATGGTCTTTTGCGAGTTTGAGAAAACCAAGTGCGAGGACCTGGCTTGAATTTTTAAATATTAGGCATAGGTGTAATATTTAGCACAGAATATTTATATGGCCCTCAGGTAAAATCTAATTTAAATATATTTTTATTCAAAAAAATAGTATTCACTCTTAGTCTTAATGGGTTGGCTTTGGTTGGGGTGAGCTGGGTAAAAATAGACTAAAAAATAGATATGGTTTTTAGAGATTTACCTATCTCCAGGCTTGGAAAAAAATTTTGAAAATTACTATCGGCTGGCCAGGTTTGAGAAATTTTTTTTATAAAATTATTATAGGTTGAGCTGGGCTTGGAAAATATTTTTATAAATTATATTGGGCTGGGCTTGGGGAAAATTTTTCAAAATTATTATGAGCCTGGACGCTTGAGAATTTTTTTATTATTAATAATAGGTCAGATATTGGCTCAAAACAAATTTTTTAGCAGGCCTGGGCTTGACCTGATCAAAAAACCAAGGCCCATGAAAATCTGAATTTTGATTGTATTTTTAAATTCATTATGATTATTTAAATATTTTATTTCAGTTCTCAACTACCAAAATTATTATGATCTTTCATTGGGCTTGGAAGAATTTTCATAATTAATATGGCTTTGGACTTTGCCTGGAAATTTTTTTTAATATTAAATATTAAGTATAAGTAATCAGTAATATTTAACAAATAATATTGGTATTATCAAGTAAATGCTTTAAATTTATACTTAAACCATAGCACTTAGTTTTAATGGATTGAACCTGTCCTGAAGGGGGAGGGGGTAAATAGAATAAAAATTGGATATTATTTTCAAATAACAGGTAACATCTAGCATAAAAGTAAGAAGAAAATTTTAATTCCCCGTCATTTTTGACGGGCTATCTACTAGTAATATATAATTACTGTTTATGAGTGATTTAAAATATAAATTACTAGACAATTTATTTGGTGGTAACCGATTATAATATGCTGTTTTTAATTTTTTTTTTGGAATGAGTGCAGCAGATAAATGATTATATATTTAGATAATATTTTTGAAAGCAATGTTATATGTATTAAATAATGGTTATTGGTATTGTAAAGATGTGGTTTTGTTAAAAAAAAGAATTAAAAAGAAAAGAAAGAAAAAAAAAGAAAAATTATGATTAAAAAAAAAAAAGATTAAAGAAAATTATGAAATTAAAAAAGGAATAGTTATAAAGTTTAAAAAAAGAAAAAAAAAAAATTTTTTTTAAAAAGAAAAAGAAGGAAATAGAAAGGTATCTTGGTGTTAGATGGTTGATGGGTATTAAATGGTGAAGTGAGGGGTGATTGGGAATGTTCAAATGGGAGGTGAAATGAACAATGGAGATTGGAGGAGGAGTAATGAGGAAAGTACAATGATAATAATACAAATAAAGGATCAAATGGGATATGATGGAGAAGGTTGCGAATGAAACAAGATGGATAATGATATGGAGAACAATGGTCAATTAGATGTGGGTGATGAAGAATGGTAATGGGCAAATGATTAACAATGGTAATTGTCAAATGGGGATTTGGGGATGATGATGGAGGGATGGAGAAGGTTGCGAATGAAACCAGATGGATAATGATATGGAGAACAATGGTGAATTAGATGTGGGTGATGAAAAATGGTAATGGCAAATGATTAACAATGGTAATGGTTAAATGGGGATTTGGGAATGATGATGAATGATGGGTAATGTTCAGATAGGATTTAGCAATGGTCTAATTTGATTTGCAATGGTCTAATTTAATTTGTGTAATTTGATTTGAAATGGTCTAATTTGATTTGGGGATGATGATGAAGGGTAATGCAATGAGCTAGTTTGATTTGGGGAATGATGAAGTATGGTAATGGTCAAATAATTAGAGATGGTGATGGGAATGGGATTTGGATGATGATGAATGATTGGTAATATTCGAATGGGATTTAGCAATGATATGGGATTGGGATGATGATAAATGGTAATGGGCAAATGGGAGGCAGATGGGATTTGGTTGAATGAATGGAATGGTATGATGTCGAAGTAGGGTCAAATGGGAGGCAAATGAGATTTGGTCGAATGAATGGAATGGTATGATGCCGGAGTACATTAAAATGATATGATGCTGTAGGGTGAGTATGAGATGGAAAATGAAAAATTGTTTGCAAAGGGGGAAGGTGTCGTGATGACGTTGAAGAAGTGAAGGGCTGTCAATTATTATTATTATTATATAAAATACATAGATACCGATTTTGTTTACATGATACAATATATTCATATTTGATACAAGTTATTCTTATTGTCAATTATATTTGATGTTTACGACAATTACAATCGAAATGATTACTACAATCTTTCTTCCTTACATACTATGCCCTTATAAGTCTTTATAACATCACCCTTATCATTAAATAAACAATAATTAATAATAATATTTAAAACCCTACCTACCTTCCAAAATATCCTATAAAACTGACACTTACTTAAAACTACTCTAAAAAAAGTCTCAAAAATTTACTTTAAAATAATAACTAATAAAATATAAAAATTTAATAAAAATTCTCCTATCTAAACTATCTACTCATAAATATTTATACCAATAATTAGTATATCCAAATATATCAAAATAATTATAAAGACAATCTATATTATAAAAATAATTATATTTCTTTATTCTAATATTTTGTATTATCCCCACTCCCTTCTGAATTCATGTTCCACCTTTTTCTTGACTCCCGGGACAATCCTTAATTAAAAGATCATCCTTTCCCTAAAACATCTACGGAAACATAGGCGTAGCCAGGGTGAAGCAAGGGGAAATCCCCCCCTTCATAAATTTATCACTTTTTGTGAATATCATTTTAAGCTAATAAAAAATATCCCCCTTAATCCTCCCCCTACTCCCTGACCCCTCAAAATTTATGCATATATCTTAAACAATAATTTGAAAGAAAGAATGTAAAAAAGTTGATATTTTTTAAACTAAAACCATTCATCATAATTTATGCATGGAAAAGCATTTATATATAATAAAAGTAAACCAAAAATGTTTTTAAAGAAATGTAATATAAGCCAAATTAAAGCACAATCAATACAAACCAGGCGCGTAAGCGGGGGGGGGGGGTCACAAATCACCCCCCCCCTCCCTAAAGCCAAAAAAATGCAGATGCCCGATTATATTTTTCAAAAATATTATTGTAAATATTAATTTATATATTTGTTAATATTTATTCCTATCTCATATATATATTTAATTACATTTATTTTTCATATTCATCTACTTTATTTTATCAATTAATTTCGATTTTAAGTTTTCCTTGGCGTAATATTTACCTATTATTTTCAAATTTTAGTGGCGTAATATTTATCTAAATTTCTAATCAAATAATAATTATCCCTGAAACTCCTTGTCCAACAGGGAAAAAGATTGCAAGCTTGTCCAACGAGAACTGGTCTCCGCCATCAAGCAGTAACAGCTTTTATGGAGTTAGAAGAGCCGATTATTAATACTATTACTGAAATATCACAATGGCTTGAAATAAATATTTCCTCAGAAGCAGGAAAATTATTGGATTCAATACTTATTCCAAATTTCTTTTCTCATTAGAATGTATTATTTAATTATACAACTATTTTCAACAACTGTAAAGATGCCCCTTACTCTCAACGCTTCCCTTTGGCTTAATCTACACTTAAATATCCAAGAGTTCTTTCAAATTATTTATTCACAATGATAAAATAACAACTAATATAAAAATATATAAACCAATAACCAATAACTATTCCATTACATGATCCATGACATCCAATATA